GCCCCCCGCCCCGGAGGATGAGCGTCATGTGACAGCACCAGACATAGCTGCCCAGCATTCCCACCTCCCACTTTCAGAGCAGAGCCTTGGCAATACCTGCACTATGCTATTCCATATCATTTCTGCTGTGCAGATACTCTAATTCTTGCATTTCTTAACTCTGAGACTGCAGAGTCAAGCATGCAGTCATCCTTCAGTGTATTTTTTCCCCTGTGACTAGTAGTTGATTCCCCGCCCCCGGCACCCCAAAGTCAAATAGAGAACCGGAATCCCGTCATGTGGCTTCACACTGCAGTCCATGATACTACAGCTAAGTTAGCTATTCTGTGGCCAAGAGCTCATCAACTTCACCAGTAGGTAATTATTCTCCGCACAGAGCAGCACAAATGCAGGAAATTACATGCATACACACTGGTGCACTCCCACCCCCAGCAGTCTTGACGAATGTCAGCTCAGCCACAGGACTTCCACCTTATCATCCTTTTCACCCAGCAAAATTTTCAGTGTCTAAATGTTTCCATACCATTTGGCTCCTGTCCAAGTTCTAGTCCTCTTATTTGAAAACTTCAACCCTTGATATCCTGATCCTAATAGCCTCAATTTATTTATAGCCAGGGCCCAGGGTCCCTCTCCTATTTCAAACCTTCCCTCTTCACCGCAGTGTCCTAAACTACCTACTTCTAATTCTGCTCCCATTCCATCTTGGTTCCTTATCCATAGTCCATATGGATCTGTATCCATATCCAACCAATTCCTCTTTACCTGCTGCATTCTGATTCTCACTCCACTTTCTTCTCTATGTTAAATGTATCCAATTACACAGCACCTCTCAGTCCCTTCCCTGCTTTTCTTTTCATTGTAACATCTCAATCCTTCCTTTGGTCTATTATCTTCTCTTTCTGTGGTCCAAGCTTCATCTCCTACACATGCAAACTGTTCATCTTCTCCATGTAGATTCTGAATGGCAGTTGAAAGACATCAAGAGCACATGAAGCAAGTTCCCTGTATAGTGCTACTGCACAGTCCAGCCTGCACCAAGAAGGCTGAGACCTGCAAATCCAAAAGGTAGCCTGGGTTTACCCTCCAGTTCTGGAATGCATCATACAATCTCTGCAGAAACTGCACATTCACAAGCCACTCAGAAACAGTAGACAAGGGGATCAACATACTTACAATCTAGACACTGCTAGGACTTGGGATGCCAGAGCATTTCTAGACCAAAGAACATTCTTAGAGAGTAATCTGAGTATGTGCCTGCTGTGTTTTTTCAGAAGCTCAATCTTGGCAAAACTGATGACTACTTCTGCAGAGCAGGAAAACACACACTACTGTCATAAAGGCCATTCCTTGTCAAAGTCCTAATCCCTGTTCCAAAAGTAACAGGGCAATGAGTGCTCTTGAAGAAAAGGTCATGAGAACTATTTTTAAACCCTATAGAACTTAAAGCTTCCTTCTCAAATGTTTTTGGTGGGACTGTTTCCAAAAACTATTTACATTGGTTAAACTTAATTTACTATATAACTGTATTACACATGTGCACTATTAAAAGACAACTAAGGTAAAGTCTAATTGACAGATTTCTATATTTAGTGTCTTAACAGTTAAAAATGATAATGCAACTATACATTTTACCTTCTACACAAATAAATTTGTTTCTCCATTCAATGCCATCAGGTCTTGGAATAGCTTTGGCCTCACGAACTGAAATCATTTGATGGCTCCAACTAGAGAAAAGAAAAACAATTTGCAGAGCTTTTAACTCTTGATTCTAAATTAATAATATCAGTTTACATTAAAAATTGACAAATGGCTACGTCACAAGCCTGGATAACACAGTACTTTATAATGAGTAATTTAGCATAATAGTCTAATCTTCACAATTCGTTATATAAGAGTAAGGAATGATGGGTACAAAACAAGAAAAATTTTCCACAAACAGAAGTTTATTTATGAAAACATCTGCAAAACAGAACGTCACAGATTTCCATGAATAACATATATTCACACCAGATTTTTTTTTTTTAAAAACAATGTCAACTTGAATATGGCCACGTACATTATTTCTAAGTTGAAAAGAAATTATATCCTCAAATCTATCTTTCAGGATTTTCTGTGGGCAGAAAAGGAAAATAAGGAGTTCAAGTGCAGATTATGCCACATACTGCAGTCCATTAAAAAAACCAACAGTATAAAGATATATAAAGATAGCTTGCTTACAGGCCACCATTCCTGGTGCAAGGAACCTATTATCAGAAATCACTAACACTTTGTATATGCTGAATTTTGCACCTCCTACAAGTGCAACAACAGAAAAACAACTCAAATACACATTTGAATGTATTCTACTGCTTTCTGCACACAATTTTACAACAACAAAACCATAGGAAATGATCACACTGAAACAGGAACAGCAGGCTGTTTACAGGGCAATCTTTACAATGTGCCAAGCATCTTTATGATCTTTATGATGCTTGGCACAACAATATGCCAAACATAATGGAAGCCAAAGCAACTACTTGCAGTTTCATGTTCTTATCTACCTGGCCAGTTTTCATCTGCTCTTAACTAAACCAAGGAAATACCATATCAGCAAAATACCTGGATCACCAACAATGTGTCACCATATGCCATGACTAAATGGGGCTTAAAAACAGCTGGGTAGCATGCTGCTAGCTGTACTGGTGTTACATACACCCGACATGATCTCCTGACTGAGTCAATCTTGACATAACGCAAAGAGAGAGGAGCTTGGCTGGGTACATCAACTACCTGCAGTAAATGTGTAAATATCAACTGTAAATCAAAATACAGTTTAATTCATCAGTTAAACTCGTAAGAACTCTCTGCTCCCTAGACCACAGATCGGCTATCATAACTCCATTAAGTCAGTGGTGATAAGACAGTTTACACCAGCTAAAAATCCATCCCTGTAATTCTACAAGTTGTCTTGGATACAACTCATGATTAAAACCACTTATGAAAGCCAGCTGTTTAAATAACTGTACTTCCAGTTATTCAAACATGTATAGTATTCTTCTGTTTAAGAATATGAATACAGCCTATTTCAAAAAGGTGCAGGACACGGCACATGAAGCACAGTTTAGGATACCTCAGATTACTTACTCACTCACTGCTGCGTATTTCTCTTGATATATTCTTCCAGACAGTTAGTAGAGGTGATGATAATTTCTGGCATTCCATGAAAACTAAATCTTTCATTCTAACCCATCACTCTCCCTCTCCTTAATTCCCATAGTAGACAACTTTTGCAAGAATTAGATATTGTAAAGCACCAAATGCTTTCCTATCACGTCTTTTTAATAAACTACTGTCTTTTTAATAAACTGCCATCAACAGAAGCTTACAAGAAATTCAGATTAACTGCTCAAAAAAACCCCAAACAAAAAAAAGACAGAAGGAAAAAAGCATGCGAGTAGACCATCAAAGAAGCTTCAACTGCAGCTCTAGAACATTGGTCATGAGCAGAAGCTGGCAGTTCAACTCCTCTGCTTTTTCTAAAAGCTTATTTAAAAATCAGAGAGATCCAGGTCAGTGGGATAAAACAAAAAGTCACACAACAAAGTATTTGATCTGTTTTTGGTTAAACCAGGCAGTACTGTTTCACTTCAAACATATAATTCTCTTGAGTTCTTTTTCTCTAGATTATACTTGGCTTCATTCCTTAGCAAAAAATAAATGCATTTATAATACACTGGTTTAGTAGAAAGCAACAAAAAAGGGACATTTCTAGCTATTTAAACAGCTTTTTATTTAAACTTGAAAACAACTACATTATCTAATAGTCTCAAACCTTCACTAACCTTGGTACCAAAATCAGCCTGAATTAGCAATGAGTTACTAATAGCAAACGATTTGTGTATCAATTTTAACCATTTTGGCTTGCATACAATAACTTCATTATTGAGAACACAAAGAAAATATTTTCCACATACACACTTTCAATCCATAAGTTAACAATAAGCATTTAAAAAGCTATTTCAACAATCAGTTATTTCTGGTGTCACTGCCCACTTTAGGTAGGTGCTCCTTATGCAGAAGGCAAGAATTTGAAAGAAAAAGACCAGGCATGCCCAGGTGTGTGTATAAATACACTACAAATATATTAAAAAGCTTATCTTTTCCAGAGCATTTTTATAAGCCAAAGCAATTTGTATAAACACACTAAGATAGGTACAAATTTCAAGCATATTTAATTCAATATACTGTTAAAAAATGTGATCCCTTTATTACCTGACCAGTTCTACCCTGAGGAGAGCCATGAGCAACTGTGTTTTATATTGTCATGATAGTAGAAGATTGGTTACATCATATCCACTAAATACAACTTAATCAGTGAATGATCTTAAACAACTGCTACATAACTTGAAACAATAAATTTAAGAGAAGTACAGTCCCAAAGGACAATCTCTAGCTTCCCTAAAAATAACTTCAGGGGAACAAGGCCTTGCTTCAAGGTCTCATTTTGTAAAGAGACAGCCAAGTGAAAACCTGCTGCCTTCACTCAAAGCTGCAGAAATGAAATAAGACACTCTCTCCAGAGGGCCTTGTAAACATGGATCAGTTTCCAAACACTTTCTTTTGAGAACACCTCCGTAAGTTTTTTCACTTGGTCACACTCACTGCATGATCAGTGGACCTTTGATAGTTTGAAATACTTAAAATGGAGTTATAAGCATACTTCTAGCCAGCTGTATCATGTGAAACATTATGCAGACTTGAACTCTTATGGCAAGCTAATTAGACAGACATGTATGTAGTGTGTAAGTCCAATATATGCAGCAATTTCTAAATCACATTTCTGGTAACATACGAAGAGGGATAAAAATTACTTCTTATGGACACACCGAAAATCCCACAGTAGAACTGTGGGATGTGTACTGTATAAATGCATGGTAATCAGCAATGTTTATTTAGACTGCAAGCTGTTTCAGAAAAAAACAGATTAAAAGGAAAAAAGGGAAAAAACCCACAGGACAAGAGATAAACTTATTTATGGCTGCACAGCATGCAAGTGTCTTGTTTCTTCCTTTGTGCCCTACTATTTGGGCCCATCCCACCCTTAAATGTTGTTCACTACATCAAGTAAAATAAAACATAGGCTTTAACTGAAATACCAACTGGCCTTTGCTAGACTGAGGGGAAATTTAAAACAATGAATCTGCACCTTGCCTTAGTCTGCCTGACCAGTACATGTAAAATAGTTGATCAGTTAAGAATTTCAGACAGGTGGTGTCAGTGACTCATTCTGTCCAAAATGATGATCTTCACACATGATCTGATCATTCTTGACTGCATGCTGCTCTTTCAGCAAAAGAGATCCCATGTATGAAACCTGGTAGTGTTGTGTCCTACTCCATAGATCAGAATCTACTAAAGCCACTTTTATGAAAACTGAAGGAGTATTCTCTTCAGTAATCTTTTCACCAAACACATTCCTGTTCAATAGTGAAAGTTCACTGGCACAGTACAGGTCATTTAAATGTGACCTAACTTAATAGGCACAGTATCTGAAATACAATCTCAAAATTTCTGTAAAAGCAAAGACAGCGGATACTGTGGATAGCGTGACACTGTACTTGTTCTCCTTAGCTGTCTATCACACACACAAAAAAATGTTTAAACACCATTTTCTGCTCACCTTTTCCCCAGCATGGGCATTAATTTGGGTTTCTCTTCTCTAGCCAATTACTAGTTCTTATGAAACTATATGTAATTTTAGGATCTTCAAGACACCCACCCTGCTTCTTTCAAACAGGATTTATAGTTGTCAGGTAGACACAGATGGTCAAGCAAACAGTACACCTGACTAAGTTTTATTTCTGTAGCAGAAAAATAATACAGGTTGCTGTATTAGGTGCATTATTTCCTGATAGGACTTCTCAGCATTAACGTTTTCAATACAGGAATTCTAATGGCTATTTTTACAGTTTTTTTGTGTGGTTTGTTTTTTGTTTGTTTGTTGGGTTTTTTTTTTTTGAAACAGAACATCACCAGTCAAATGTTTAAGTACTTAACAGGTACTTAACACTGGAAAAACAAGCCAGATATTTTTTTGTTTGGTTGGTTTTTTAAAAACCTTCCCTTGATGTCAGCAACTATTCTATCTTCACTAACCACTTTTTTGAGCTTTGTTTTAACAAGAAGCTCCCTTCTGCCTCTGATTAAATTTAGGTAACATTTTTTCCTCATTTGTGATTATCACAGAAAATAATATTCAGGGACTGCAATCAGTTTAAGTACTGATATTGCAGCATTGTTAAGTCTTCATACTTCTTAGTATAACCTATATGTCTAACCACAGGCAAAAAAAAAAAAAATAGTCCTCCTGGACCAGCTACTGACTTATGGAAGAAGCTGCTCCTGACTATGTTCATAAGCACCCAAACCAGAAAAGTCGAATTATGTATTCTTTCCTTCATTTGGACAAAAGATCATCTCTGCTAGTTTGCACAGGCAAACCAGAAACTTCTTCCTTAGTGGAAGATATATTTACTTGCATATATGAGAAGATTAACAACTAGTTATACAGGCAAGTAGTAAAGGATGCATATAGTGTCCCACAAATTAGAAACTTGAGGATATACCCCAGCAGTGTCTTCTGATTTCCCTGTTTTTCAGCTGGCAAGATGCTGGTTGATAAGACAGGTACTCAGGAGAAACTTTTAGGACAAAAGACCATTCCTTTATCTGCAGAGGCTCTTGAAGGAAAATCCTTTATATGCAAATCTTTCAGAATCAGGCTGATGATATCAGAAATGGATACGATGCACAAAGACTGGACAGCAACATGTATGAACTAACTGCCTCAGAAACAAGTTCTTTAGAAGATCTTTAAGCTTACTGAAATACAACCATTTGATATTTTATATGGACAAGCACTTTTCCTAAGAAATTCTCGAGTGACAAGTTGGCAAAATATTCATGATCTACAGCTTTCTCAAATGCCCTCATAACTTGCAGCTTCTCCTTCTCTTCTATAACAAAGTCCAGACACCAAAATTAAAATCAGATTCTAGCAAACCAACAAGGTTAGGGAACCAACTATACATGGGAGACTTCTTCACTAGGTGTGGCCTGTACTGATACATATTACAATCAAAGTAAGGAGCCACAGAGCTCGTAAGGGCAAGACAAGCGCAGTTATTAAGGTCCAAATAATTAATATCACAATCAATACCTTAAAGTACAACTAAGAAAAAAAGGTATTTCTCACACATGGATAGGCGGTTTTAGAATACTGTAATATAACAAAACCTGCCTATTTTTAAAGGACAAAGCTTTAACTTCTGGCAGCTATTTTACAGGACAGGATACTTGGCTAAGCAAAAGATATCAGGCACTCTTTATCAGCATTTCCTGCTGTCCTGTGGTCTTTTCACCCATTTTCTGTCAGTTACCACTCCTGCATTACTGCTATTCTCTCTGTTCAAGGGTTATAAAGTGTTGATGTACTGAATAGAAGGAATCAAAGTTTCACAGATTCTAAAACACTAAGATGAGCTTATTACTTACTCAAATTCTGTGGCATAATATTTGAAGAAGCCTATTAACAAATCTCCAAGGCTTGATCCATTTTTTGAGGTGTAAGGAGGAATAGCACATGGAGCTTGATGAACAAGATGCAACTGCATAGTAGAATCAAAAGCTTCCTGTAAAAATAAAATCAGAGAGTAGGTATATACACACACAGCCTTAATCTAGGTGCATATATTTTTCACAATAAAAAAGCTCCCTATCATTTGCTTATTAGAAGTTCAATGACAACTTACAAGCAAAAGACCATTTCAAAGGACTATTTCGTCCTCCACTGCTGGATACTCCCCTTGAAGTCAGGTATAATCATCCTACGCAGGAGTGTCCCAGACCCTCCCTTGCGTTCTGTTTGCTAAAGAGTTTTGACATGGGAGGGTATCTGAACTGGGCTTGTGTTTACATGCTAGTGAAACTGCATGAGCAACAGCTGAGTAAGGTAGCCTGCACCAAGCTGGCTGCAGCTGAACTGAGTTGGAGTAGGTGATGTTGATGCACTTATTGCCAAGTTCCCATAACTGTGGTACAGAAACAAGCCAAAAGGAAGGCCTGAATTATTTTTCCCACAGCATAGAGTTAAAATTGCATATGAAACCCACTGGCTCTAATATGAACCTGCATCCTCCCACATAACAAGCTCAAAGACGCAGCACCTCCTCTAGCCAACCTATCTGAAAGAATAAAAAGTTATAAAAAACCTGAATACCCAGAACACAGCATTTAAGCTGAAGTATGCTCTTCTTTTGAGGGGCAGGGAAGAAAGAAAAAGTCAGGTTTGCTATAAACAAAAGTCACTATTGCCAGCTTAAAAAGGAATCTACACAAGACTGAATTAACATGGGTTTAGATCTGCTATACTCTTTGGCTGTCCATTGCATCCTTTAGGTTCTTCTGAGAGACTGGGGTATATGGAGGACAACATGGCTTCTCTTGCTAGAGAAACAATTTTTAAAGCCTGGTTATACCAGGATACCACGTTTTACAGTAATGTTGTATATTTTAAACAAAATGAACCCAAGATACACATAAAGAAATAAATATATGTAAATGTAGGGACCCATTCAGTTATTACTGTATCTTTCCTTCCACACATTTGTTATTTTAAAGAGTAGTATTAAGCATAACTTGAACTTTATAGTACTAGAATACCACTGGAAACACTATACTCTGTGATACTATTTCCATGGCCAAAGCTGGCAGTGCTTCCTCTGAGAAAAGCATGGTTAGCAATCAAACCAATAGGACTTGAAACTTCGGGACTCCCGTCCTCTTTCACCAATTCTAGCAAAACTTCCTGGAACCTTATGCAACACTTTCTGGGGAAAAAAGCCATTCTTCCAGCTATGAAAAATTTCAAGTCTTGTTCTCACATGATATAACTTTGCATATAAAATATTATATAGTTAGCAGAGCTTAGAATTTAACAGCTTGCAATCCAACAGAACACAAAAAAAATATGGAGACAGACAGACATTAAAAGCAGATATGCAGCACAGAAAAATCTAAAAGGGGGACAGTTGTTCCTATGCTATACAGTAGATACAGTTTTAACCCCAAAGGTAATCGACAGTTACTAGAGTGAAATTTGCTCCTTGCCCATTCCTACAGAAAGTTGTAGAAGAGTTACAACAAATGAATTTAGTATTAGCAGTGTAAGTAAGTTAGCTCATAAGGAAATGGGGACGGGACGGGGGGAAGGAAGGAGAAAACAGGCTGCTGACCTCCAAACAATGCAAAACAGAAATGCAATGAAGTCACTACTACAGATGTCTACTAATAAGTAAATGTTTGGAGGCAGCAGACGTTTTGAGAAGAACAAGATTTTTTTTTAATGCTTTGAATGTTCCAATGCTTGAGGACTTCTCAATTGCAAGAAAAATCTGCCACCACAGTGAGGCTGGCATGCTGAGCAGCTAAAAAAATAGACTTTGGGATATTCTTTTTCAGAATAATAAAAAAGCTTTTTTCTTCAACTATTACAAGCTTAGAGAGGATGTTGCTTTTTCTTACTAATCTTGACCTTAAGTACATTTTATTTACTTTTCATATACTGATCACAATTTACATTAGTGTTTGTACATAATTTGATTAAGAAAAACATGAATCAATTATACTAATAGCAAAAGACAATATATCAAATATAGTTGTAATAAAAACTTACGAGGAAAAAAGGAGACTGAGTGCCTCTCTGCCTATGCTTACATCCAGAAAAAAAGAAATATCAAAAGGATATCAAATACAACTTTACCCAAAAATATTTATTCAGTAAGATTTATTAGCAGTTAATGAAATCGAAAGCTACAAAACCTTGCAGTTATAAAATTACAAGTACGTATTTTGAAAACGATGATTATGATAGAGGCATAGTCCAGATGAATGTGTTTTTCAGGATATTTAGTTTGTCTGTTTCTTCACAGAGTTTGCACCTGATCAAAAGTCATGTAAGCAGCAGTGATAAAACTGAAAGAATCCTCATTTGAGGAGCAGGAAATGTACCACATTCCAAAGATTCCCACCCATGACAGAAGAGATAAAATTCCTAACCTGCATTAGAAGGTAATTTTCTAAATCTTCATTTAGTAATTAGGATTAAAACTCTTAAATTCTGCATTTTTTTTAAAAAAACAAATTCTATTTCATGAAATCTGCAGTTCCTAGCTTTACCATGTATATTAAATACACCTGCCTCACAAAAGTCAGGCAAATCAAAAAGTTTTCCCTACTCAGAAAGGCATTTGCCTTAAAAAAATAAACTAACAGCTAATCATTTAAAAACCCAACCACCTAGTTTAAGAGATACACATAAAAATAATTCCCATCTCCACTTGCTCTAGTAGTATAACCACTATGAAAATGACTCTTAAAAAGACAATGAGGTGTTACAAAATGGGAAGCATGACTGAAACGACTTTTCTGGAAGAAAAGAGAATTTTTTTACACTAGCTAAAGCAAACTGTTAATCACATTTCTGATACTGTTAGTCAACTTAGTTTTTAAACACTGAGTTGCTGATCACCACATGTAGAAAGTAGTGTTTCATCTTTTCGAAATACAGAAAATTTATGGAAGAAATTGCTATTACCAGATTACAAAGTTTTACATGTAAAAAAATGTAATTATTACTTAAGCTTGGGTATGGGGAAGAATTAATGAAAATGACTGCCAAAATATACCAATATTCAACATATCAATAACCTTTGTTTAAGGCCATTTCTTAGCAAAGCTATCACTCTGTGTCCAGTGGACAAGAGGTCAGACCAGCCACAGGATACCTAGGCTCATTTAATTGTTCTCATAGGAGAACAAGTCTTATGAGGAGCAGCCGAGGGAACTGGGATTGTTTAGTCTAGAGAAGAAGAAGCTGAGGGGAGACCTTATCACTCTTTACAACTACCTGAAAGAAGGTTGTGGTGAGGTGGGTGTTGGTCTCTTCTCCCAAGTAACTAGTGATAGGACGAGAGGAAATGGCCTCAAGTTGCCCTAGGGGAGGTGTAGATTGGATATTAGGAAAAATTTCTTCACCGAGAGGGTGGTCAAGCATTGGAACAGGCTGCCCGGGGAGGTGGTGGAGTCACCATCACTGGAGGTGTTCAAAAAGTGTTGTAGACATGGCACTTCAGGACATAGTTTAGTGGGCACGTTGGTGTTGGGTTGATGGTTGGACTTGATGATCTTAGAGGTCTTTTCCAACCTTAGTGATCCTATTCTATGACTTTTCTGCTTTGCCACAGACAACCCATGAGAATCCATTAGGCTCAGCCTGCCTCCATTCACCTACTGTAAAACAGAGATAACAGTACTTTCGTTCCTGCCAGAAAGACTCAGGGAATAACTAGATAAACAGAACAAGGTACAGCTTATAGATTCTGCACATAAATGAGGTTGAGAATTATGAAGCATCCTTCAGACTAGCTTAATTTCAAATAGGCCTTCCCTGTAAGCTTTCCCTTACTAACTTGCTCTAGAAGGCAAAAAATTCAGCTTCTTTTAAAACTAATCCTTAATTTGCTTACTGTGTCTTTGCCTCATGCCATCTTAAGACATGGAAAAGAAATTCAGGACCTGATTGAGCAACAAATATAAATGAGCTATCCATTATTTCAAAATACCCCAGGGAAGGGGGATCCCAAAGTCTTTTTTCCTTTTTTTGCTACATCTCTAGTATTTATATTGCTTGGCTGGTTTCTCAAGGAAACACTAGCATTCAGCAGCATACTTCATGTTCAAGCTACATAACACTTACACATATTCTCATTCCACCTTACACACTGGAAAGGAACACAAGTGTACATGAAAAAATCTTTACGTTTTAATATCTTGATGTATAATGAGTTTAACTTTGACTGTACAAGATCCTTCCTTCCTGTAACATCAGGATAGTATCTGGCCATTTTTGATAGGTATCTATATTCGCACACATAAAATAGCCTTCCCCAGTCTTACAAATGAACATTTAACTCATGATTATACTTTTAAAAAGTGCAACTAGAAGACTAAAGCAAGTTGTGACTGCTCATGTAACTGAGACGGCAGAAACAAAAATGTGCTCATGCTAGAGTCCACAAAGCTCACAATCCAGAGCTCTAGTGGAGAGTAACCTCCACCTGGATTTAAGCAAACATGCCAGGCTGCTCTGGAACATTGGAGACAGGCACACGTTCCCTTCTGACTTCCAACTGCAGCAATATTCACCTCTGGCAAACACACAGGCAAAACAAACAGAAGCCATAATGGCTTAAGCCACTACAGGTTCTCCAGAGTTCATCTGTAAAACTCCTGACTTGGAGGCAAGTTCTACATTTTGTGGGCTATTCTCATCTACACCATCTAGCTGCGAGGGGTGGGGGCAGAAAGCCCCAGAATCCAACCCCACATCTGATATGGTCCAATACTCCCTCTAAACTAGCAGTTGCAAAACACATCAGCTTGGTGGCAGCTGAAAGCTACCCCATTGCAACAAAATGCAGAGGTGAGGAGATCTGGTGGCTTTCCAGGACTTCTCATCTTTCACATCTGCAGTAGGGACATACTGAGTCACAGAATCTGCCTTTTGTTTCTTGCATGTCTCTTACATAGCACTTACAATTTAAAACCAACAGTTTTCTTCAAAGTGCAGAAGGTATCTCCAGGCTGCAGAAAGAGCTGCAATTTGATTTTGAAAAAAACAGATTGTAGGTAGGGTGGTTTGTTTCAGAAGGGGAAAAGCAGTATTTAGCTGTAGTATTAGAATGGAGACACAGCTTTGACCAGCTACAGCCACAAGAAAAACAAACGGTTTCTTCAGATACTGACATTTGCCTGTGCTCTGTAATTATTACTGTAAGCTACAAGACCAGAATCATTTTTGTGTATTTCTCATTTTCATTTTAAATTTCTTTGCAATATCAGTATTCAGAAATGGTAATTTTCACAATTTTTAAACACTTAATTTTATTCCTAATGGAGACAGTAGACTTTCACATGACAGGAGAAAACCTTGTATTTAGTACAAATTCATTGGATTTTTCAGCTTATGGTATTATATACTTTTGCTTCAGTCATTTAAGCCATTAATACTTGTATAATGCTCTGAAAGCCTTCACACAGTTCAAACCCTACAAATAAAATGTTTGCATTATATTACAAGGAGTCAAAAGTTACCAATTTCTAGGTTTTTTTCTTTCAATTACATGCTACAAAAAACTTAGTACTACAGCTTATGAGCTTTAAGCAAACATAATTGGCAAATCTAACAAGTCAAAAAATCTATCAGATAAAGCTAACTGTACAAGAAATTAAAAACAGCTTCAAATGCTTTTGAGCACTCACAATGAAGAAATCAGAAGGTATATAGTACAGTAAAAAAATCAGGGGAAAAAATAAAGACCATAAAGATTTAGCACAGGTATGCCAAAGCAGGTTTACAAAACAGAAATGAAACTGCAGCATACAATAGCTCAAAGCTTTCTTCTGCATCTTGATTATCCTAATTACCCAAAATGGCTGATACCACAGTATTTTCTCCCTGATGTACAGTGTTATCAAATATTCCCATTTCAGCATTAGAGGAAATATATGTAAAAGAATGAATGGCTTTCTGAGACTACCTCAGCACAATTATCAGCAACAGTAAAAAAATGCCACAAATAGACAGGGACACCAAACTATAGCAACTATAAATAAAGTAAAATTTAAAGTGACATTCTGCAGAGGATCAAAGCACACCAATCCACAGACTTCTCTGGAAACAAGCAGAATATCATCTGGACATAACAGCAAAGTCCCAAAAAGGCATTTTCAGGTTGGACTGAAGCCCAATTTTGTAAGATCTCAAAAGTATCTTTAGTAAATATGTAACATTCACTTTCTGCACACAGAAATATCAGGCAACTCAACAGCTATGGGAAGGTATGCAATTCTGAAACACAACAGTGGTATGGAAAAAACACTACTTAACATGTTAAGAGTCAGAAAGTTATAAATGACACAGGAATATTTTCAGGCCAGCATAAAGTGAATTAGGTCAGCAGCTCTCATTAGCACTCTTTTCCAACTGTGTGTTAGATCTTCTCATATATAACAGACTGTTTTCACTAAACTTTTTTCACACTTATGTTTAGTGTATCAATGACCAGGTTTACAGACTGTGTTTAACTTGATCCATTAGAGATATTTAAGAATTCATATATTTTAGATAAGCAGATTCATACATATATATGGTATAGTAAATTCATAAGAAACACTTACTGGATAATTTTTTTGGAGGGATGGAAGGATGGGTTCAGGCAGAGCTATAAAAAGAGAAGTTTGAAGTTGCTGTGATTCATGTAATTCACAGGAAACAATATCATATCAACTACACCATGGGGTTGGACTGAAATTCCATCTTAAAAACATCTATCAAGAACTTCACTTCAATGCATTTTGTGAAATAGAAGTTATTCAGCAAATCTTCCTACTACTGTATTTTCTATATTCGTAGTATAAAGAGTTAATTCAGCTAAGAGAAGCTGTTACTAAGATACTACTATTTGTAGAAGACATGAAAAATTCTACGGCAGCTGGGTATGACTTCACTTTTAAAATTCATGTTAATAAGAAACTAATCTAGATTCCCTAAAGGAAAAATCAGAGCTTCACTCATTTT